GACTTGGTTTTGTCTCTGTGGAGGTGAGAAGGAACTAGACTGGCGAAACTAGAGAAGGAAATGAAAGGGCCTATGCAAAGGCCCTGTGGTGGGAAATGACTGACTCAAATTTGGAAGGCAGGAGGGAGGTTGTTGGACGAGGCAGGACCTTGTGGGATAGGGAAAAGAAAACTTCTTTCTCCAAAGCCCTATGGAAACTATCAGAGGAGCAGAATGACATGGTCTAAATTATAGAAAAAGAGCACAGCCGAGAATGCATGGACTAAGAAGAACGTTCTTGAGAGACCTGACATATCTGAGCAGTTTTTACAGAGATGTGGGGGTCCAGAAGATCACTGCATCACAGGTTTGCTCGACTCTGGATCTTAGTAGCCCCCCGAATGTTTCTGTTGCTGAGCCCCATGGCTGTCCCAGCACCCACATATTTAATTCCTCCACCCTTGGGTCACCTCTGTTTCATCACGTCTTTAGCACCCCGAAGCTCCTCTAAATCATCTTTTTTCTTCTTGATTTAGGATTTTTTTTTTTTTGCTGATGTGGGGGGCTTGGGCCATACCTGGTGGTCCTCAGGGCTTCGTCCTGGCTCTGTGCACAGGGATCACAATTGATGGGGGACTCAGGGACAGAATCTGGGGGGACCAAACGCTAACACCCTATCTGTTGTACTACCTCCCGGTCCCTTGATTTAGAATGTTGCAGCTAAATCCTCCAGAAGAGGCAGCATTAATAAAAGTTTTCTGAGGGCAAGGGAAGGAAAAAGTTTCTAGAATTTTATAACAGCTGATCAAGCTGATTTCCTGACATGATTTATAGTTCTCAATCTCTCTGAAGGATAAGACATTGACCCTCGGTACCTATTTCTATGTAATAACCCATCCCCAAACTTAGTGGTTTAGAATAGTGGAATATTTATTTTGCTCATTAATTTGTAATCTAGATAAGTCTCTGTAAAAATGACCTAACTCTGATACAATGAGTATTTAGAACAGAAGCTGGTAGCCAAGAAACACTCCTCAGGAATTAGCTAGTGCTAGAGATAGCGCAGGGCTTAAGGTGCTTGTCTTATACGAGAGGACCCTGGTTCAAACCCCAGCACCACAAGGTTCCCAGAACAACCCCACCCCAGAGCAACCCCAAAGTGCAGAGCCATGATTAGCCTCTGGACACTTCAGGGTGTGGCTCAAAAAAGGGGTAGCTCATGTTATGAATATTCAACATCATTTATTATAATTTAATTAGATCTTAGGTGAATTCCGAGCTAGATGCTAGATACTGAGATATGAATAGGAGCAAGAAGGAGTTCAATCTCCCAAGAGCCGAGAGATTACCAGGAGGTGTTTTCAAGCACCTGGGCAGAAACTCCAAACTTAGAATTGAGCCAGATCTTATTCTCATTCTGAGTTTGCTAGTAGTTTCTGGTTGTGTAACTTTAGGCCAGTTTTCCACTTTCTCAGCCTTAGTCTCCTCAGTTGAAAATTATCGCGATAGAGTCAGGGAAATGGCTCAAAGGGCTGAAGTGCATGCTTTGCATCTGGGGTGCCTGAATTTGATCCCCATCACCATATGGATACCAAACGCCACCAGGAGTAACTAAACCCCAAGCACCAAGCCCAGAGTAGCCCTTGAACACTGCCAGGTATAGCCCAAAGGAAAACTAGAAAAAAAAAATGCTCATTATGGGAGCTGGAGAGATAGTACAGTGGGTAGGGTGCTTGCTTTGCATGTGGTTGACCCAGACCCATCCCTGGCACTCCCTATGATCCCCCAAGCCCACCAGGAGTGATCTCTGAAAGCAGACCTCATGCCCTGAGCAAAGCTGGGTGTGCCCCAAAACCAAAAAAAAAAAAAAAACAGAAAAGAAAAACAATCATTAAAAGCACATCCAGGTGTAGCCCAACAACCCCCAGACTTACCTATTTTTTTCTCTTTTTCTTTTTTTCTTTTCTTTTTCCTTCCTTCCTTCCTTCCTTCCTTCCTTCCTTCCTTCCTTCCTTCCTGTCCTTCCCTCTTTCCTTCCTTCCCTTCCCTTTCTTTCTTTCTTTCTTTCTTTCTTTCTTTCTTTCTTTCATTTTTGGCCCACATCCGGCAATGATCAGGGATTACTCCTGGTTCTGCACTCAGGAATTCTTCCTGGTGGAGCTCATATGGGATGCTGGGGGTCAAACCCCAAGTCAGCCACGTGCAAAGCAAATGCCCTACCCACTGTATTGTTGCTATTTCTGCTTTTTTCTTTTCTTTTTTCTTCCTTTTTATTCTTTACTCTTGCTTTTTGTTTGGGAATCACAGCTGGTTGTGCTCAGGGGCTATTCCTGGTGTGGTACTCAGGGGACACTCTTGGTGGTTACTTGGCAAACAATACACTAGCCCACTGAACTATCTCTTCAGTCATAACTATGACTTTACTTTGTCAATAGGCCAGAAATGGATTCATTACAGTGCAAGGTGGGAAAGATTATACAGTTATGGGTGCCTCCACTACAGGAATACTTTTTGAGAAATTCCTGGTTGGCGATTTCATCACAGTGCCAACATTGCAGAAGACAATTTCACAAACCTAGATGGAATGGTCTACTACATACCAAAGCTACTTGGGGCCACCATTATACCTGCTGTCTGTCCCCAACTGAGTGATGTTAAGCAATGCCTGGCTCTACTTCATGGAAAGGCAACCTGTTCCAAAGAGTCCAGCAGAAGAAGTAAAGATTAGCTTGATCAGGAAGAATCTCGGAAGTCTTAGAGGAAGTGATGTTGAAACTTGTCTTTCAAGAATGAACAAGACTTTTCAGGTAGGGAATGAGGAAAGAGAAAGCATTCCCGGTGGAGGGAAAATCTGTTTTTTGAAAATGTTGGTAAATTTGGAAGGATGATAAATTCAGTGTGGGAACTTAAGGTGTGTGGGACAGAGTAGATGAGGCTGGAAAGGGGGAGTCAGGCAAAACAGTGACTCAAGTGAGAGAAATTGCTCTTTTTCAGCCCATGGGGACTGGACAGGGAGTAGAAGAGGTCAGTGGCTGGGCTGAAGAGGTTTGTTGATAGATCAGATAGGCTCAGGGGTAGATACTATGTTAGGGGTCAGAGGACAGTGAGGGAAACAAAGGTCAGCCAATGAGGAGTTGCAAAGGCAGGGTAGGAGCCTATAGAACGAGGATATGGGATGCAGAGGCTCCAAACCTGTCTCTGAACCACTCAGGGTCCATCTGAATATCTCTGGGATCTTGAGATTTTAATGGTATTTTAACCTTAGTTTCCTTAGTCAATAATATGGCCTGGCCTGTCTGCAACACGTACTTGTGCAAAAGACCAGAGGTAAAAAGGGTATCAATGCTTTGTAAGTAATAAAGAGAAATTTTAGTTTCATGTTTAAGGGAAAAAGTTAATTGCCTGGAATAGGTGAGGTGAGGAGGAAGGTGGGGGAATATCTGTCCTGGGGTAAAGATGAAGATAAACTCACTATATAAATACAGTAATTTCCATTCTTGTCTGTAGGATCATCACTGGCAGCCTTCCAGCTGCCTTACAGGTGTACTTACTTGTGCTATCTCTCCAACTCTCACCTGTGATCAGAGAGTTAGAAGAGCAAGCAGGTAAGGAGCTTGCTTTGCACATAACCAACCTGGGTTGGATCCCTGGCACCACACATAGGACCTGAGAACTGCGGGGAGAGATCCCTGAACACAGAGCTTAAAGTAAGTCCTGAGCACTGCTTGCCATCCCCTACCCCCTACCTCCCGAAATCAAGGTGATCCAATGAGGATTTTGAGCACAGTCATGCTGTTTCTGGGGCGAGAATCCCCAGTCTCCAGCAGACTCTCAAAAGAATCTGTAACACCCCCAAAGGTTAAGAGTCATTGATTTTTCTCACCAGAAATTAATAAGAACAGCTATCCTTAGAGAGAAAGACAAGTGGGGGCAAAGGGGGGAGATTTTCATTTTCATTTTCGATTTTTTCTGAGCCATTTGAATTTTCTAACCATGAGCATGTATTAATGTTATTGAAAAAACTGTCACCAGGGGTTATCTGGGTAGAAAGATAATGGGGCCTTTTTAGATTTCATCTTTATATTTCTTCGTACTAAACAAATACTAATAGATGTTATTTTAAAATCTCTGATAGCATCAAAACATACACATACAAATTGCTCCATTATGCAAAACACATCTTCTGTGATGCAAGGTAGAATATCAACATTTCCTATAAACTACTGGCTTCAGCGCAGTGAAACGCATTTGAAGTAGACAAGGGAAAAGGCACGTATTTTGACTCAGACATATAAAATTGAAGGGTATTTATCTTCATACGCACAGTCTTCTAGCTCTCGTGAGCTGCTTGCGTTTGATGCCTTAAGTGAAGGATGGGTTAAATCCCCTACCCTCTCCCCACGCACTCTAGTAATTACTTTATTTCCACGTCATGTTTCCGGGTGTGTGTTTCGACTCACGCAGACACCAAAGTAGATAGACAAAGAGTCACCTATGTTCCTTTCAGCTGGCCCCAGAAACCTAAATAAGGCGTTGGGTTGGGTGAGGGTCAGGCAGGACCTGGGGACAGGGTCACTGGCTGACTCCCGTAAGGAAAGTGGCTCCCAACCTCGCCCCCATGTGGTACCATGGGCTGGGAAAAGGGAGAGGAGGCAGGAGCGAGACGCACCAGGGGCATTTAAAGTGTCTTGACGTCACGCACTGCCAGGAACTCAGCTGAGTTTTCAGCAGGACATTCCGGTCATCTGCCCTCCCTCCCCCTGGGCTTCAGGGCCCTAGGCCGTGGCTCTTCCCGCAGCGGCTACGGAGGGAGGAGCGGTGAGTCATCGGAACTGCCGGAGTGGGGGCGTTCCCAGCCCTCTGATGGCCACGCCTTTTCTCTAGGCGGATCTTCTTATTGGCCGGTGGGTGGGGCTACTGGCGCCCCGCACCGGCACGGCGGCCCCTGGGTGGCGGAGGAAGCTGGCCGTCTCATGAATTATGCAGAAGCGTGGAGTCCGGGCCGGGGGTGGGCGGGGATTGGCTGGAGGAGCTGTAATTCAGCGGTTTCCGGAGAGCCGCGGCAGCCTGGGCCGGTCGGAGGGGGGCTTGGGGTTCAGACGTCGAGGCGAACGAGAGCCCGAACCCGGTCCCTGACGCGCACCAGCGCTCGGCGCTCTCGCTTCCCGTCAGCGAGGAGAGGTCGGGCGGCCCGAGGGAGTCCCGCGGCCCGCACCCCGGCGCAAGTGCAGCCCCGGCCTGTCGGGCCTCCGCGGGAGAGACAGGTGAAGGAAGGCGTGAAGGGTGGGGCCGGTTGCCCCCTGACGGCCGCGGCGGCCGGGCACCGGGGGCGGGGGGCGCCGAAGGGGCGGGCAGCATCGCGGCTGTCCCGGGGAGTTGTGGACGGAAACTTCGGTGGGGCCGGGGGCGGCGGGGCGGCGGGGGAGAGACCCCGAGGGTCGCTGGGCAGAGACAGCTCTCCGGGATGACAGGAGCGGGCCCGTGAGGGACGCGGGGGGCGGGGAGGACCGCGGACGGAAGTTTCCCTCTAGGGCAGGGGGCTTCACCACAGGGGCGACACCAGGGACGAAGGCGTCGGCGGGGGAGCGGGGCGCCGCGGGGCCGGCGGCAGGGAGGGGGTGCAGGGGTGAGGGACCGCTCCCCGACTTCCTGCTCGTCGGGGCTCTGGGGAGCCGGCGGCCGCGCGAGCGTCGGTCGCGGAGATCGCGGCGCTGCGGGGGCTGGGACAGCGCCTCCCGCGGGTCTCCCCGCCCGGGGGAAGCCCGCCGTGCCCCGCTCGTGTCTCCCCTCTTCCCGTCGGACGGGCGGGTTGGTTGCGGGTACGATTATTGCATAAGAGTCGAGTTTCCTGTCGGGTAATTGACAGTCCTGGACTCTTTCTAAATTCCCCTCCTGTCGTCGTCTACTTAGGTTAAGCCATGCTTTCCTCCTCCCCTTCTTTTTTTTTTTTTTAATTAAAAAAAAAAAAAAGACGAACCAGAAAACCCAGACAAACGCAATAAAAATCCGCCCTCTATCAAGCCTGTAGCTGGTAATCGTGAAATGAAGAACCTTTTTTCTTGCCGTGTCCGTGTTCTTTTATAAACACCTGGTAAACTCGGCCAGGAGATAAAATAATCGAGCCCTGGCGTTTACGGGATTGTGGTGTTGCTTAATTGCACAGGACAGAGTGAACCAATCACGAGTGGGAGTTTTCTGTCTCCCAGCCAAGATCTTGGGTAAATGCAAAGGAGAGACAAAGACAAGCTGGCCTTGGCGGGCTGTGTGTGCAAACTTTACCTGGGCTTGGGGGCGGGGTGTGGGTGCGATTAAATTAGCAGAATTCAAGCCCCCACCCCAGTTGTTTTTTCCATGTTTAGCACACGTCCTTCTGTGTTCTATCCAGTGGGTGGCTGTTGTCAGCACGCTTTCTTACTGTGAAGTGTGTGGCTGGTTTGTGCTTGTACCTCTAAAGGGAATATTTACTCAGTGAAGCTTGTAATTTTTAAATCAAAACAGTAAACCGTCTCAATATTTTTCATGGATCTAGACAGCAGTGATTGAATTCAGCCAATTTTCTATTTTGTTTTCTGTTGAGCATGTCTGTGTTTTGGGAGTCAACATGTTTCTTGCCTAATTCCATATGCCAGATTGGAGTATGAGCAGAAGTTTGCTCAAATATTTGCATAATGGGATGAGGGAAAGACGTCTGCCATAAGCACCCCCCCCAACTGCTTTGGTACAATTTAGTACATTTTAGTTGATATTTATTAATCTCCGTTAGCACATCTACCACAAAGAACCATTAGCAAACCCATGAATCTTAAGTCTTCCCCCCACCCCCCAGTTCTATGAGGAAGAAGAACCATTAAAAAATAGTAACTTAACCCACAAAAGATAGAAAGTTCACGTAACATTAACCCCACTTGGTAGATAGGAATTGAGATAAAGGAATAAGGTATTTGCACAAGGCAGCTGAGCACCATCATAGTCAAACCTTCTGTATATTTTTTGGGGGGAGGCCCACACCTTACTGTGCTTTGGGCATACTTCCAGCTCTGTGGTCAGAACCACTACTGGTGGTGTTGAGAGGGACCATATGGGGTTCCAGAGATCGAACCATGGGTCGGCTGCATGCAAGACAAGGAGTCCTACCTATACTATCTCTCTCGCCCCATCCTTCTGTGTATTTTGTGGAGACTCCAAGGAAGGGGGCTGGAGAGAGAGTATAGCAAGCAGGGTGCTTGACTTGCATGTGGCAGACCCTGGTTTGATTTCCATCACTCCATATGATCCCCGGGGTGATCCCTAAGCGAAGAACTAGGAGTAAGCCCTGAGAATCACCAGGACCCCAAAACAAAGCAAAAAAAAAGACTCCAAGAAAGATATTTAGTTAAGACATTTAATAAAATATATTTAATAAAATTAGTGTAAAAGGAAGTATACATAGGGTTTATGTAGCCTTATTTTTCCAACCAATGGTGCTAGAGTTTATTACTGGCTCTGCACTCATGAATCACTCCTTATGGGGCTCAGAGGACCATATGTTGTGCTGGGAATCAATCCTGGGTTGGCTATGCAAGGCAAGTGCCCTACCTGATGATCTTTCTGGCCCAAAGTCCTATATATCAATGAGGAAGGAGCAGTTTTAAGAAAACCTAGAGTTGTCTAGAAAATCTTGCCAACAGAGAACTTTGTTCTGTGTTCCAGATAATAGTTATAATTTGATAGGTGAAAAGAATTTGGGGTGAGATTAGTGATATAACACAAACAAAATCCTGATAGATTAAGAAGGTAAGTAGGAGAGGAGTAAGTATTTATAAAAGGCCTTATTCAAGGGATAGGGAAATAACTCAAGTGGTAGAGCACATGCCTAGCATATGTGAGACCCTGAGTTTGGAACCCCAGCACTGAATGGCTCTCTAAGAATCACTGGGTAAGGCAAATTAACAAAAGGCTTTAGTTGAACGTCAGACCAAGGACTCTCAGTTTTGTCCTTTGGCAGGGAACAATCTTTGTAAACATATTGGACCATGGACTAGTATTTAATTATGCAGCATCTACTTTGTCAGGCATATGCCCCACATTTATTAATATATACTAAGTAAATCAGTGCATATAATAAATGTAGTAAATATAATAAATCAGTTTCTGTCCTAGGGAATTTGATATTGAGGCTGACCCTATAAACTAGATCAGCACTGAAGGAGATTTGCTCTGGCTTACTGGATTTAATATTTTTGGTTAAAAAAAAAAGCATAGTGTACTTAACAGCAGTGTTTCATTGAGTTTTTGTTTTGTTTTGTTTTTTTGGGTCTCACCTGGAAATGCTCAGGGGTTACTCTTGGCTCTGTGTTCAGGTATTCACTCCTGGCAGTGCTGGGGGACCATATGGGATGTTGGGGATCGAACTCTGGTGGACCCTGTGCAAGGCACATGCCCTACCCGCTGGCCCATTTATTGATATTTTAATTGGCTATCATCAATTACTATATTTTGTATCTTTTATATTTGAAATGTTTGCGTTAACTTTTGGTTTATTTATGGAAACCTTCCAAAATACTCTTGAGGGACATCCCCAAATCCTGAAGAACCCCAGATCCTGCAGCAGCCGTGGTGAGCTCTAGCTTGATGACTCACTGGACTCTTTCAGTCTTTGTTGGTTACGGTGAAAAGAATTAGTTTTGTGGTTCCATACTTGTTATTAGGGAACCTTGGCTGACTATGGTTCATTTTATCAGAATAACCACGGATGACATTTTGGTGGTAAATTGTTTGAAATAAAAGGGTAGCGGATGGAAGAATGAATGTTTGTGATGGTCTGTCCTCACCCCAGTGCTGGGGATTGGACCCAGGGCCTCATACAGGCAAGGTGGCAAATATTCTATTTCTGAACTATAACCCCTGGTTCTTCATTTATCATAATATTGGGGTCTTTTTATAACTTTTTTTTGGGGGGTAGGGTGTGTGTGTGGCTATGACAATGCTCAGGGGTTACTCCTGGCTCTGCACTCGGGAATTAATCTTGATGTTGCTGCGGAACAATATGGATGCCAGGTATTGAACCTGGATTGGCCACATGCAAGGCAAGTGCCCTGTCCACTGTACTGTCTCTGTGGCCCCTCTTTTTATAAATCTTAGTTTACAGCCCTGCAAACATATTGTCTGTTGAGAGCCAACTACTGTGAAAGGAGTGATCCAAGGATATTGCAATATGATGCTTGTTTTAATGGGACCATGTTGTATGAAGTATCGACATAGACTTAGGGGAGGGGAAGTGACAAGTTCCAGGCTCAGACTCCAAATCAAACAGATCTGGGACTGGATCCTAGATTTGTTACTTTCTAGTAAGAATCCGAGCCTCTGAGATCTTATCTGTCAAAGGAGAGGAGAGTAGTCTCTATCTCCCAGGCCTTGCAGATTCAGTGAGATAATGTAGGTCAGATACCTGGCACAGGAAGAATTCCATAAATCTAGACTCTGATTATAGATCTAAGAAGAGATTCTCTTCAAGGGTGAAAGAAATTATTACTGAAGGACCTTTTTATTGTGAGTGATATTTGGGTTTTGGGGGCCACATTCGGGAGGTGCTCAGGGGTTGTTGTTGGCAGTGTGCTCAGGAGTGGCCCCTGACTGTGCTCAGGGGGCCTTATGTGTTGCCAAGAATTTGAACAGAACGCAAGACAAGTGCCTCACCTCCTGTTTCATCTCTCCGGGCCCTACATAGGGGCTTTATCAAGTGAGAATACCTGAATAGGGTTTTGTAGGATGAGTGGGAATCCTTTCTACAAATTCATTCATTCATTCATCATCCTGTTATTCGTCGATTGCCTCGAGCAGGCCCCAGTAACGTCTCTTTCATCCTAGCCCTGAGATTATATTCAAGGCTCTTTAGGAGAATGAGACCCATCAATGTTACTGGTATTTGGCATATTTGGTACGCCACGGGGAGTTTGCCAGACTCGTCCTGTGGGCAGGCTACATTCGATAGCCTGCAAGTGTGTCCAAAGTAGGACACATGGATGTGAGGGCGATCTGGCTGCGACATCTGTCACCCCATTGATCGCCAGGGTTGATTCGGCTGATCTGGCTGGCTAGGCGGGTGTCCCCTTCCTCCCTCACCGCTCCATGTGTGTCCCTCCCGAAGCTGTGCGCTCGGTCGAAGAGGATGGCCTTCCCCGATAGAGACGGACCGGTCTTCAGTTGAGGGTATACGAGTAGCTGCGCTCCCCTGCTAGAACCTCCAAACAAGCTCCTTTCTACAAAGTTGAGTGGTAAATGGTTG